CGCGCTTTATTACATCCTCAATTTCTGTATTACTGCACATGCTGTTCAATAAATCTGAACTGTTTCATTTGGAAAGTGCTGATCAGACCACAAAAATCTATTATATTAGATGCTGCATCGTTTCAGTAGAATCAGTGTGACCCACCTCTGTCCATATTTATTACAAAAACAGAACATAACTCCTTGTGTAGGTCAATGTAAGTGTGCTGGAAAGTACATAAATAAGGTTTCCCCCAAAGTTGCTTTGTGGAAACAACTTTGGACCAATGACAGGACTTGGGAAACGTATTACACATGAAGAATTAGCAAACAAATTAGGGATACGTTTGTATATTAGTTGTATATAATTGTGAACATTTGTTAGAATCATTTCTTAACTAATAGAAGAAATGTGACATAGGGGTAGGGATATATAAGTTTTACATCTTTTTGGACACTGTTACTTTTGGCTGTTTTTTTTATTATTCTAATTTCAAATCTTGTTTCAAAATAAAGTCATTCATTAATTCCTTGAATTGAATTTGCTGATGTCTGCAGACTGTATCATGGAGGTTTAAGCAACCAATTGTCATCACAAGCTGCTGGCACTGGCAATCCTTTATGACCTATTTTTTATGTTAAAGTCTGAACCCAACCCATGTAAAAAAAATAATAATAAAAAATGCTGGCCTTTTTTTTTTTTTAATTTGTAGAGCAGATCTGTGTGCCACATATACTGTAAGCACTACTTTACTCCACTTGTGTGAGGTTTAGCAGCACAGTACAGCCAGTTTTAGTCTGAAGATTTAACAAAGGGAGTTAATATTGTTCTAGGAATAATCAAAAATTAACTAAATGCTGCAGCAGCTCTGGTACAAGACATTTTTTTTTCTCCAAACTCTTGATTATAACCATGCTTTGCCTATGTTCATCCATGTAGAGTCATCCACATCTGCACCAGGACGCTCCACAGATGTGGATGACATTTTCTCATCTCCAATCTCTGAAAGGAAATATAAACCTGTCTTACATATTTTAAGGGAACAAAGTTCAACACCTTTTTTCTTTTTTTTTGAGGGGGGTTGGGGGGTTAATTAGCATCAATCAAGGGTCAACTACAGCCTGTGACACCACTATCTTTCATCTAAATTGTTATGTGAACCTAAGTCTTTTGCTTCTTCTATTCCAATTTGCACTTTGTTGTTGACTCCAGTGATTGTAAAACCCCTGAGCTTTACTGTAATTAAGGCAACACGAGTTAAATTCATTGACTTTTCCGACTGCCCGTGCATCCTAAAGAGGTATGCAGATTGTCCAGTCGTGTCATGTCTCCCGGTAGAGATGTCTGACGGATGTCCAGCAGAGGATTAGCAGCGGTGAGACGTTATCAATTATGTAACAAACAGACAAGGGATGGATGTGTGCTGCATGGTTTGGTCAGTAATAGGTACGGTGTGTAATGCTCAAGTCTGATGATTGATTGCTTATAAATTTGGGTTACTGTGAAAGTATATTTCTTTTCTTTTAGCTCCGGTCTGTTCTCCTCTCAAACACTGTAGCTGTGTCCTAATTCAGGGACTGCAGTAATCAAAACATTACGACTATATCAGAACATTTGTTCAGCCTTGTTCTTTTTTAAGCTTTGCAGGAGGAATATCATGTTGTTCCATACACAAATTGGAGTTACGGTTTGGGGACAAGATCAAAAAATTTATATGTATGCATTTCTACTTTTGGCATCAATTCTTATCAATTAGAGGAACTTAACAGTGGCGGTTCTAGACCACTTTTACTGAGGGGGCCAAACTGGGGCCAATTATTTTCTCAGAGGGGAACAAGATGATCACTTTAAAATATATATATATTATGCCAAATAATAGCGCACATCATTAAATACCACAACATAAAATAACATGATTTATATTTGTTTCAGTAACAGTATTTAATACTAGATTGTGAATCCAGTTGTTGAATCAAATACTGTGTATGCGTTATTAGGGGGGCTCTTTCTTTTGGAGTGGTGGCCACAGGGGGGACCAAGCTCAGTGTTACAGGGGCACAGGCCCCTGTTGGCCCCTGCCTAGAACCGGCCATTTAACTTAACTGTGAGTTAGGATACATTTGTTATTAGCGTGAAGATTAGCTAACATTTAAACACAGTAGTAGTAAGTAGTTTCTGAACCATAAAAGGACCAAGATTTAAATGAACTGGGAGCAGGTAATCAATTTAAATGAGGAAATAATGCCTCGCTGGGGAATGGTCTAATTGCTGGTGATTGAACCTTTGTGTTTTGTAATCTCTGGGCTTTATGGATGGTGATGTTTCGAGTGATAAACTTGGTTTGTGGTTTTCCCGTGCATTCGTTGGCACCCTATACTGTATTTAAAAAAAGCACTGAGCAAAAGCCCCCTCAACAAGCCAGCTGGTTAGGTTAGGGTCACCAGCGAAATATGGCAGCGTCCGTCGCGGGAGTATTCCAGCTTCAAATCGCTACAACGGAAGGAGACTGAGAAGTGCTGTGCTATTATACTGGTTGGCACATTTTTGGCTTAGTTAATATACTTCAAATTGATCTATTTCATGTCAGACATTATATATTGTGGTATGTTGTATTGTAGTCTACTTTTGGAGTTTATTCTATAAATTCATTACAAAACAGGGTGTTTTAAAGTTGCACAACTATCACTAAGGCGTGTTGGTCATTGATTCACATCGGACCCTTACATTTCAGGTTGTCTCTGACTTCTTTTGTTAGCAGTAGCATTTGGGAACCAGTGCTCAATCAACCACCCCCTGTGCTCTGTGTATTGTCCATACATGAGACGTTACATCTGCACCTCGTTATACATCACTCTTGCCTGAAATGTATGTTGACATCTGAACCCTGCGATTATGGAAACTCAGTTATTTGCAAAAGTCCCACTCTTTCCCAAGGCCTCCTTTCAGAAACCTAGAAAGCTATGTTTTTTTCAGAGTATAGTACCATTTATTGTGCTTTGAATTGTCTTACTTTGTTACATAACCTGCACATATTTTAATTTTCGTTTGAAAATGAACAGTCAGGGTGTAGCAGATGCTGCAACGTCGAGTGTTATAACCGTGAGTCAGATGACTCATATCCCTTCCTGTTCATTATTCTCAATTTGTGACTACTGTTTCCATGTGTCTGTGTTGGTCATTTATTTATTTATTTTTTTAGATCAGGCTTAGAAATACTTCTGTTTTCTTTTTTTCTTTTTTTACCCACTGCCCCTGCGGTTCCATCTTGGATTATTTGGACTCTTTATAACTTCTTTTAGATGTCGAATTTGTCTGCGAACAAATGCTGTTAATTGGCATTCAACAAATAAATGACTCTCCTCTCCTGGCATCGCTGTAGTTGTAGTCATCACGTCCCTTTAGATGCCGTTTTCACATTATTTTTAGTCTTTCCCTCGACATAGAAGTTCTTTGCAAAGCTGTTTCTATGACATGCATGCTTACACAGACAATCTAATTATTATCATGTAAGGAAGAGTGCCATGCTATCCCTTTACAAACATACCATGAATTATTTATTATCTCAATGTATGTGTAGCTTACGGCCTCTCTGTGTGTGTTTTGCATCTTGTTCCAGATGAGCCTGTGCTGCGTTTTTTTCCTCAATTCAAAGGTTGATGTGCATCTACATTTAAGAACAGCTACAGTACAATACCACCAGTATATAAAGTGCTGCCAATGCAAAATGGAAATGTATTATGCTGTTATGTTGGGCTGTGATATTTCCCTTGGGGGATGGCTAAAAAAAAACAAAAAAAAAAACGTGAGTTTCTTAACATGTTTTATTCATGTGTGAAAATGAAATTGTTTAAACAACGACGTCACCATTGCACCATTGTAAGGCAATTCAGAGGTATTGGAAGATGTCTTCATAAAGTTTAAAAGTGCGACCCAGCTGAGCAATCGGCATGAAAAGTCTTAATCCTCTTGGTGTCAATTATGGCTGAACAAGTGGCTCATTTTTTTTCTCTTTCATTCCTCTCGCTCTCTCTCTCTCTTTCTCTCTCTCTCTCTCTCCTGGTGAGAAAGAGGCAGAGCTCCTTCATCTGAGCTGTGTTATAAGGATTTCTCCAAAAACTTTAATCTCCAAAGATGCATTTTCTTTAGTGCAGCTTGGGTACAGCTGAGCCTGAGAGAGAATTATTGAATAATGTAGTGTCTGAGATGGATGTTGGGAGCTTTTTGAAGCTGGAGCAGGCTGACGACCTCGGTGCAGTGCAGTAATGACGCAAAGGTTACTGCTATATAAAGAGTTTGTTTTTTACTTCAGAGGCATTAGCAGAAAGAGTAGTTCTGATGTTCATTTTAGTCTTATTAAAATCTTCATATAAAGAGCAGGGCTGCACGTATTGTTAATTTTCATCCATATTGAAATTGTGTTTTATGATTCAGACATCGATTGATTTCTCAGTGAGTAATTATAGAAACGTCAAATAGTTGGAAAATCTGGGGTGCTGTTGTGCTGGTGGTTGGTTCCTGCAGCCCATGTGTGTAGGCTGTTGTCCTCAGGGTGGGCGGCCAGGGCTAGTGTCTAACGCTCTCCGAACCCCCAACAGCTCTGGTGCACTCCATGTGTAGCATATCTCCTTTAATGCATGTCCACAGTGTGTAATTTGGGCCTAAGTGTGTTCGAAGTATATATCTCAATAAAAGAGTGTAACACCAGAGTATGTAAAATTAAAAAAAGAAAAATGTAATGATTTTTGTGTAATACCATAACAAAGCCTTTTTTAGCACAATATATGATTGGTTGACTGAAATAATAACCAACCAATTCTTTTGAGTTCTAATAATCTTTGTAAAAGAAGTCTCTTGGAATATATTTCTCCTCTTGCAGCTACTCTACATCATTGCACCGAGGCCAGTGAAAATTTAGCAAAACTTGTTTGAAATCCTGAACCCTGAAAACAACCGTAAGAAGTCATTTTGGCAGTGTACCATTTCCTGTATTCACACAACGTCTGTCTGCTCTCCCTTGCAGCTTCACTCAAACTCAGATAAAGGCGACGGATCCGTCAGGTACATCCTGAGCGGGGAAGGAGCCGGGACTATATTTATCATCGACGAAGTGACAGGAGATATTCACGCCGCTAAGAGCCTGGATCGGGAGAGGAAAACGCATTATGTCCTGCATGCACAAGCCTTGGACCGCAACACGGAGGAGGCCCTGGAACCAAAGTCGGAATTCATCATCAAAGTACAAGACATCAATGACAATGCACCCAAATTTCCAGATGGACCCTTTGTAGCGACGGTGCCTGAGATGTCTGAATTGGGTGAGTAATGCTACAATTTAAAATGAACCGTCAAATGATTGCTCTCTGCTGTCCTCAGCAGTAAGCCTTCACCTGAGTGGGTTGAAGCAGAAAAAACTGTCTGGGCTTGAGTTATTTTTGTTTTATTTTTCCTGCATGTAATCCTTTTTTAGCCCTGCGGTGAAGACAAAAAAATGGAATGGCGAGACCTTCAATTCTACATCTTGTGTATGTTTTCAATCAACTCATGACCAAGTGATGCTGGGACACGGTTTACAGGAAGGTGTTAGGATGAACAAACATGATCAAACATGCTATTACCCCATGCTGCATTCTGCTTTGTCCTCTCTGGATAATGTTCTCCAGAATGTTTGATCTTCTGTAAGCCAGCCGAGTCCTCTTTTTCATCTTTGTTTTCTGGTTGCTGTGATGGCTTCCCGAGTGGGCAGGTCTTTATAAAGCACTCAATAATGCCTCCACAGCAATCCCCGCCATCGAGACTGTGGAGTCCTTCACATCATAGAGGAAAGAAAAGCCTCTATCCACCTCCTCGGAGACAACCGCTCTTCATACGCCCGGAATCATGTGGCAAAACATCTATTTTTTATTTCTTTATTGTACAGTTCTGTTTTTAGCCTGGGTGAACAAAAGCCACCCTTTTTCCCAGTCTGGTGTATTCTGCCTCAAAGCACAACAACCCCAAAGTACTGTGCTAAAATATTTCACAGCATCCGTCAAGACATATGCAGGTTGTCCAAAAAGGTAGCCAAACTGCTGTCAAAGCAATTTTGCTTGGAATTTACTATAAAATAGTGAATATGTGACACTGACAGTTTGTTGAAAACATTCCATTTAAAGCTGTCTGTCTAAAATAATATTTTCTGTTGCTGCAAAGGAGGTAGGCATACTTATTAGGAAATGTCGTAAGGGGGAAGGAATGCCTTCATTGGTTTCTTGCAGCAAGAAGATGGAAATGTGCAAGACTGATAAAATATGCAAACCCCGATAGACCTGTAGGCGCCCTCTTTATAAACAGTCAATATCTCCCTGGTTGGATTCATGAATATTCATGAACAGGCATGTCTGACACACATACAACTTCACCAGTCAGTATATTTGTTTTTCAGTTTGATGTGTGAAGTGCATATCTTAATTCTGAGAGTACTGCCCTGTGAGATCTAATGAGTTATGCATGGTGATTTCTCGCTTCTTAATCATTTTATTTAAGGTTGTGTTTGAAGGAGATAAAGGTGCCATTTGTAGCGTAGGACAAAAATATAAAAGAACTTGATAAAAAAAAAAAAATTTCCCCATGAGTGTCATTCAGTAGTTGACCAGTCATGCAAGTTCATGATAAAACATTTCAGCCCTATTTCCTCAATATTTGGGGTGTTGAATGATGTGTGAATTAAGTCAGAATTGGTGATTTGCAAAACATTTAACCTCCACATTTAATTGGAAATAGCACAAATGTCACATGTCAAATGTATGAACTGAGAAATTACAATGTTTTTTTGGAAAGGTGTATGCTACATTGGAAATTGATGCAGACATGTTGCATGTTGATTGGACAGTTGCAACAAAGACTGGAAAAGTTGTGAAATGCCTAAAAAAACACCCAATGGAACAGCTCATGGTTAATAAGGTTAACTAGCAACAGGTTAGTAACATCAATGGGTGTAGAAAGAGCATCGTAGAGAGGCGGAGTCTTCTAAGGTAAAGATGGGAGAGGTACTTTCATATTGACAGAAATCAGTCACCCCAGTTCCCCATTGCTTACAAAATGTTGTTGAAAGAAATGGAATGCAACAGATTGGTACACATGACCCTGTCCCAACTTTTTCTATACAAGTTGCTGGCATCAAAGGGCATATACGGTAATTTGCCTTAAACAATGTACTGTAATTTCTCATTTTTTTTTTTTTTAATGCTGTTACAATGAATTATTGGGTTTCAATGTTTTGCAATTTATCAAATGTTGTTGATGTTGCATTTTACACAATGACCCAACTCTTTTGTAATAGGGGAATTTTGAGGGGTATTGTAAATGGCTCGAGTACTTGGGCAGAAAAGAACGTTATCAGTAACATAGATGACTGTGCTAAAGTATGGAAAAAAATGCAAAACAATGAGCTAAGAGTTTTTACAAGTGCACCGGGAAAGCGAGCTGCCGGTAAATGACAATGCTAACATTAATAATTCTGAATGGTTCAGAAAAACAACAAGTAGACTGAAAATTGATATAACACAGTATGACATTGTTACTCCCTTTCTTCAGTTCTAGGAACTATATTTCACAGACCTCTGTATTCACTAGGCTGATTCAGTTTGCTCTAGCCTGGCACCAGTTTACTGCAACGTTAGCTAAATAAGTACTGAAGAATGGTCATGAAATATCACTGCAATAAACTTTATGTGCACAAGCCTCTCTCCTATATATAGGCATAACAGATGCAGGGACGAAGGAAAAAAAGGTTCTAAGGCTTGCCAACCAATGAAGACTTTGCTGGTCCAAACACTTTTCATTGATTAACATTTGGTTGATGATTAGCAGGCAGCCCTAGAATTGAATCCTACAAAGATTTAAGTTTGACTTATTGGAAACATAACCTTTATCTTTGGACGAGTGCATAGTAGACTCATAAAAGATACATTTGCAAACCTAATCTGTGCTTTGAAATCATCGGTTAACTTCTAACTAGACCATTCATTTTAAAGTTTCAGTGTTCACTTGCTAACTTAATCATGGAATGCACAAAAAGAATCAATCACCAGTGATGACCCAAGGAAGGAAATCATCGACTGGGGAAAATAATTAGCCTTTTTTTCCTGCCCCCTCTTTTGCTGGTGTCCATTAAAGTAATTCCTCTTCGGTTCTGAGTCTGCGGCGTCAAATCGGCTGTAACAATCAACTGTCCTCACACTCCAGAGCACTAATCCCCCAGCATTTGTCAATACTGGTGCTCCAGAGTGCAGGAAGGGGATTGTCTGCAAATGTGTGGCAGCTAATTGGCTGTGATGTGCTCTTTTTTTAAGCCTAAATTGATTGGCTGGGCGCTTGCCAGGTAGTCCAATGTTGCTACGTCATATCTTCTATTCAATGTATTCATATATTTTAGAGTGCCAGATACAACAAGTATCAATTTCCTACTGTTGTACACATCACCCAGTTGATGTCTCTAAATGGAAGTGCTGGAGATAAGAAGCTCCGCTTTCCAGTCAATCATTTCACTCCTGGTAAAATGACTGTTTAATACTTGTTTCAAAACCTAGAGGAAGTAGTAGTGGTCTGTGTAGATGAAGAGTTATGATTAAATGACTGCTCTTGGAACTGATGTACGGAAATTGATCCAAATTGCACACATGGGCAAGTGTTGAATTCTTAATAAACAACCAAATTGAGATTTCAGAGTTCCATTATAAGGACTTATTTTCCTCCCTTTGCCACTCTAAAATGTTGTTTTCAGTAAATGCATTCATCCATCATGAAACACAGATCAATGTTGTTTTAGCTTGCTCTAACATCTGATGTCTTTTGAGATGTACTTGCACATTTTCTTTCTCTTTGAGATTTCAAAGCACTTCCCGTATCTGATGACAGGCCTCTCTGAAAAGCAGCGTGTTGAAATTTTTCCTCCATTAAGATGCCATCTTATTTCATCTTACCAAGTATCACCCAACATCTCACAAACTAATTGCGGCTTCAATGCTGTATAGCTCTGGGTTTTTCATGTCACAACCAAATCAAATGCAAATGAAAGAAGATTATATAAAATCTTTAACTCAGACTGAGGGAGGATAAGGAGAATCCAATGGTTTTAATACAATTTGTCAGAGTCTACCCTTGGTCTTTTTAAAAGTACATTATGTTTTGCGGTTGGGGAATGAGTCACTTTGGGTCTTTAAAAAGAAAGTGGATACAAATTGGAACAATGTTTGTCATGGGGGTAATTAATGGGCAGAATAATTTGGTTATGTAGAGCCAAGCAAATTACACAATGTCTCTGCAAGAAACTCAGAACTACATGCCCTGATTTTGAACTATGGCATGCTTGCAATTTATTCAAACTCTTGCAGTGCAAGTATCCTGGAAAGTGTGACCAATATGACCAAGTCATATACACTCGGTGGTCACCTTATAAGGTACATCTGTCCAGTCTTGTGCAATCCAATTCAACAGCTCTGCCGTAAAGTCTACTTTTATGATGCCTATATTGTCCAGACAGTGTCATAAAGGTGTTCATTGAATTATATGTTTTAGCTCGAGGTCATATTAAGTCACTGTGTTGTATTGGACTGCAATATATCAATAGATTTGTCATGAACTATAATAGAGAGGATAAAAAATAAAATAGACTTCTCAATATGAGGTAGTCCAGTGTGGAAAAAAAAAACCTTTAACTTGACCTTAGTCATAAAGATATTACACACTGTTATTAAGGGGGCACAGGCTGTATGTACCGATAGATTAGACTCTTGTGTTCTCTGTAATTGTGGCCACCAGGAACATTGCCATTTTAAAAAGTAATCCTGGTACAATGCAAGGCGGAGTACACAACTGAAACCACAAATATACCTCTATAACCCTGAAACAGTCTTACATTCAGACAATGCAGTGTAGACTTGATTTTGAAGTCATTGTAAATGTTAAATCTTTGAAAATAGTCAATTTGCTTCAATTTAGAGAAAGGGGGCTTGATGGTTTCAGGTTAATACCAATATGTAGTAACTCAATTGTATACAATGACTCCAAGATTAGCAAACTTTTTAACATCAATATCAATGCTTTCAGTCACCAGTTTAGCACCAGCAGGTGTTTAAGCCTCATTCTTCTAATGCTGGCCTCACATAAAATGACTTTTAAGCAATGTTAAAGTCAGAGAGACATTTCCAAGGTTGGAATAAAATAATAATTTTTGCTGGATTAGTGGCACACTCCTGTGATTTTGGTCGTTTGGTTTGAGGTGGTCATAAAACTTGATCAGAGCTGCTTTAAGCCTGTCTGGTTTTATCCATATTGTGCTATTCAATGACTTGACAATCGTCAACAACTAATAGGAACATTCTGGCCAGCACCAAACAGGAAGCTGCAAACTAGTAAACGTGGCGGAGACGCAAACATGCAGTTCACCTTCACTGGAAAATGAGGAGAAACTGTCAAGCCCTTCACTTAAAAGGAAACTTGGACCTAAGGACCGAAAAGACCAGATTCCCAACAGGGGGATTTGCAAACTTAGCATAGACTTATTCAAGTGTTGGCTCTTTAATCAGACCTGTAGGACTCATTACCTCAATAGTTTGAACTATACAATACTTGAGCACTTAAGTTGAAGTGCATTGTGAGCAATGGCAAGCCCATTATACATACTTTAAGGAGTGCATAATGAGTTAATTAGCTGTCATTATAACTGTATATTGGAGTTAACGTTATACAGAACATTTCCCAGTCATTGTACTGTACAGAAAAATCCATCATACAAGATGACATATATGATTTTCTTTACTTAAGCCATTAATATAGAACAATTCAAGGTTCATCAGTAAGGCTGGGAATCTTTGGATGTCTTGACTTCAGGATCTACTCCAGTCATCTGTGGGACTGGCTGAATTTCTTGCTGGTCCATTTGGCATTGTACTGAGTTAAAGAGCTAGCCTTAGCACTTAACAGGGAGTGACTGATTAGCCAAAAAAGGAAAATCGATTTTTAGAACTTGTGAATCTATTTAAAATCTCAGAAGATAAGAATCTCGATTTCTACATGAATCTATCTTTTTTTTCCATCCCTATTCATCAGTCGATTTATGTACTTTCTAATAACTTTTCCTAGACGGATGACTCTGAACCAGCTTAGCTTCCAAGAAAATTCCGCGATTTGATCAAGTCAAAAATAATTCCAATTGCAATTTCCTCAGCAATGTCTACATAGATTCAGAGTGACCAAGCATACAGTCGACTACACTGTTCATTATGGTTGATATTTCTCACTGCTCCTTTAGCCCCCCCCCCCACAAAAAAAAAAAAAGTCATATCTGGTGGGACACAGTGTACTGAGTTTCACTTGTTTAATTGAGTTAAATTCCCATATGAAACTACAGAGCAAGAAGATTTACAGGCTTTAGGATGTATCATATAGCTCATATGTCCCCTTACACAACCAAGCTAGGATTGCTACATATACTAATACACAATGTAAGCTAACAATGCAATTAAAATGTGCTCATCATGCAATTATAATGGCTTAATGAAGCATGTAATGCTGGTTGAGCATCACTTCATGTGTTAAATTGGACCACAATGGCTTTAACGCATCATTTTTTTAGATTACTCTGTAAATACTGAGCTGTCCTAAGTGTTTTAAGCACTTGTCTTTGTTGTTGTCATCTTTTGCAAAAAAAAAATCACTCAGAAACTAACAGCAACATTTGTATGCTATTCTCCATTTATCATCCCAAGACTAGGACAATGACTAGACAAATGTCTATTTAACATTCATATGGTATAACTTATGAGCTACAGCCAGTGTATTCTGTGCATCTGCACCCATAAAGACTTGATTACTCATTATCATTTAATACCAAATGTATTTCAGTGCTAGTTATTCTTTTGGACTTATTATGTCTTTTTGTAAAGACAGATTGCAAGATACGAACATACTTTTTTTGTTCTTGTGGAGATAAGTTATGTACAGTCGGCAGCATATTATGCAAAATATTGTGTGAGTATTTGCTAAAGCATGCTAAACCACAATGTTGCATCTCTTCTGTTTTAAATTGAGGATGTGTCCAGCATTTAAAGTATCTCTCTCTGTAACCTTGCTGCCATATATTAACATCTATTGCACAGTAATTCCCCCGGGGACTCAAAAACACTACAACATGGTTGCTAGGAGATTTCCAACAAACGGCTTTTACTCAACAATATCATGGTATTGACCTTAAAAAAAAAACCTTTTAAGAGTGACAGTGTCTGGAAAATAATTTGTACTGTGTTCATTTTTTAGGCACATCTGTGTTGCAAGTCACTGCGACTGACGCCGACGACCCCACATATGGAAACAGCGCCAGGATAGTCTACAGTATTCTACAAGGACAGCCATATTTCTCCGTCGACCCCAAAACAGGTGCAGTATTATTGCATTCTTGGGTAAAATGAATTTTAGAAAAGCACTCTAAAATCTATTTTCATAGATGGGTGTAATGCTTCATTTCTGTTTCTATTGTTGATCTCCAAAAGTGATATGTACATCATGCTGTGAAGTCTGTGCACAATCCCTGCAGTGAACATTCTGTTCTGTTGCTGCCACACGTCTGACATCGTAAAAGCCAGAAAGCAGCCACAGTAGAGTTATAGACCACTCATATGACTGCTGTATTGTCGAGCACGCAAACCCACTTTTTGTTGGCCATAACTAACTCCTCAAGGGTCAAAGGAGCCATTTGCGGAGATGTGTTCAGAAAGCCATTGTTTCCTACCTTTAGAAAAGGAGGTAAAAAGCCCGGACAGGCAGTGCTCAGTCTTTTCAGTCCATCTATTGTCTGAGAGGGCTTTGCTGGAGTCTATTAAATGTTAATAAACCTTTTAAAGTACAAGATATATAACTTTTATATGACGTGAAAATGTGTCCCTGTGAGTGTGCGCATGTTTATTTCTGATCTCTCTTTGTCTCACAAAAGGGTTTGCTCGTGCACGTTTGTGTTTGAAGTTTTACATGCTTGCCTCGGCTGATTCTGCTGCTGCCGGTTAACATGAACAACAATGCGATTGTCTGAACTGAATCATTGCTGTCTGGAGCATCTATTGGCCCCTTTGAGACTACAACGCCCATGTAAAACATGAATTCTTTGCTGAATGAGCAACACAAATGAAACACGGAATATTTTGACTTTACCTTGGGGGGGGAAGGCAGTGGGGGATTAATGGAGCAATTTCACAGCGCTGTGGTGAGGTTGTAGCAATGCCAATGCTTTTGCAAGGAAACTGGGCTTTGTGCACACAAAACCTCATACTCTGGTATATTAGCTCTGTTAGTGTAGTCGAAATCATGCTCTCGATTAAAAAATAATTATATGATTTTTCTGTATGCAGTGGGCTTTCGGACACATCAGATGGCTCGTTTTGCTTGAGCTGACTCTGCATCTTGATCGAAGGGCTAGGCAGCTGCTCTTTCAGCACAGCTCTATTCCTCCCTCATGTATTCATTTGCACAAGTCTCTGTTGTTTTTCTCTGCCACCAGCAAACCACCCTTCGTCACTTAAATTAGCAGGAGAAACTCCAGTGGTCAGTGGAAAACATGCACAGGGCCACGAGAGCCACGCTTGCATGTGATCTTAAATATACTAAGCCCAAGTCTTAAAGTAGCGCTGGGGAGCTGAAGCTGCTTATGCACATGTCTCACAGTGCATTAGTGTGTTACATCCACAGGTAGCGGATTCCCTACATGTTGGAGACATCACAAAGGGATATACACGTATCATTAGCAGGATTTAAAGAACACACAGTTCCAAACACACACACACACACACCAACAAATCCACCTCTGCCCATTTGACCTTGGATCTGCTGGCCGGCTCCAACAGTGACAGATTTTTACAAGACCCCATGAGGAAGGAGGAGAGATCATTTAAGGACAGAGGGTAATGATAGCATTTGGCCTGCACATATGGTGCAGAAGGAATCCCCATAGAACTGTCTCAGCTTTGCCCTAAATCCTAAGCAAGAAACAAGTTAGCAGTTTCAGCTGTTCCCCCTCCCTGGCTAAAGTGGTTTGATCCTCTCAGTGCCACCAGGAACTGCAGGCCGCTCTGACAGTTTGGAAATTGTATTAAATGGAAAATTGACCACAGGCACAGGACATGTGGCTTATATAACAGGCTGCCTTGGCAAAGCAATTGGACACTTGTGTTTCAGCTGAAACTCTCACCAAATATACGTTTTTGTCATGTCTGTCAGCATACAATAATCAAATGCTTTGCATGTGTGCCTTAGACCCTTCCAAAAAATGAAAAGCGGCAGGGTATTTGCGGATGTGTACAACTCGAATGTAACCATTCTTATTTCTCCAACATTTAAAGCACTGTGTGCCACAAAGTGTGTGCTTGGCTTCATTCTGCAGTGCATCTTAATTAAACTGTTACTGTGTTTATTAAAACTTATAAAGAGGATCATTACCATGATCACCTCTCCAAAATTAACTGCACTGTCATTACACTTAATAACTTTAAAAGTGCTTTTTTTAATGAGCAAATTACCACTATCATACCTACATTTAGATAAATCTGTTTTGTAAGCTGGCTCCATTAAGAAAATGAAAGCTCTACGCTTACAAGTGCAAAACCCAACATGAAGATCCTATAGGTCCACGCCATTGTAGCTATGTTTAATGATGGCATCTTGTATGTTTGAGACATCAAATATTTTTAACAAAGGTGCAAAATAAAAGTATATTACCTTCACATTTGGAAACTTGATCTATGACTTTGTAATGCTTACCATTTACAAAGAAACAGGCAGGTGTTTTTTTTTTTAAATCAAAGCACAGTCATGTTAATTACACATTCTGCATTTCAGTGTCAGATGACAGACATGTTAATAACTAAATATAAAATGTCTGAGTTCATGTCACCTAACCCATTAATTAAACATGGAAGAGCATCAAAACATCTGTCACTGCAGTAAATAGGATTCAATTATGGATGTAAATTTGTAATTGGTTCGTCTGCTAGTGCCATGCAGCATGCTTGAAAGAAGGGACTGATGCATGTGACAAAGATGGCAGGCTTGAGGGAGGAACTGTGGGTAGCAGAACATCAATGTAGCAGCTTTATTGAACAATAATGAGACAATCCAAAATATTCTGAATTGACCTTCCTCTTCTTCTTTGTAATGAATCTCCAAAATGTGTTTCCTAAGTACACAGAGTACAGATTCAATAAAGGTACACTAAATAGAGGCGTAACTGTTCAAATGTCCCATAGACCCATAATTCATTGCAATGTCCTGCACTCCTTGTCTGATACATGTAATTGCAGTTAAGGACAGTAATTTAAAAGAAAGTGCCGTTTTCTTACTTTTTATGTTTCTTGACATGGGGATGTTTTGTCTAATTTCAAGAAACTTGGCATTTAACATTTGTTTTTCAGTTTTTTTTCTCCTTATCTACTTGCAATTCCAGCCTCTTTTTTGTCTTTTTTGCTTCTATTATTTTCAAATAAGATGTTTGAAAACTTAGTGAGCTAAGGTAACAGGCTTCTGGCTTTAGCCTCAAATTGAGCTATCAAATAGCTAGCTAGCTGTTAGCTATATTGTCAAGCTAAGCTAACAGCCCGCTGACCATTGCCACTTGACTTTCAGCAAAGTAAATGATTACCGCTGTAAATCCTCAAAATTGTCAAGTTGTTTCATTAAATCATCAACATTTTCGGATTGAACAAAGACGCTGGGTGTTGATAAAGCTTTGCTACAGTCAAGAATTTCAAAGAACACCTACAAATCCTGACAAGGTGTCCTTTAAGAAGGACCCTGAGCACCCAACCTGCTGCTTATGTTTTGACTTGTCTGGGGATTTTGGTGAACAGGAGCAGATGCACAAGGACAGCAGAGTATTAGACAAACAGACTGAACCTCTATCTGCTCTCTGAATGTAAGTCTCACAGGATAAAAGTTAGAAGTAAAGCCTGGATGTACTTTTTTGATGGATTTACTCTTGGAAAGCTCTGTCACATTTTGTCAGGGTTATTTGACAATATTAGCTTCGCCAGAGTAGTTATATTTAATAAGTCACATGCTAACTGTGTTAAGAACATTCGCCGCATTGACTTTACTTGATTACATGGTTTGCGAATTCCAAAACTGCAAGCCAGCATTTTCTAGAACAGCTTCCTATATCTCAGCAAAAGTACATCTTAGACGGTAGCTGCATTTATCCTTTTTATAGCCGGGTCGTAACTCCTGTCTTTCCCATCACTACTGTGCATCTGTCACTTACCCGCAGAGACATCAAGGTTGTTCCTCTGGAGTCTCATAGACGAATGCCCCCTCCCCTCCATCCCCACCTCACATCTGTACTCACTCACACACACAGGCAAACCTCACCACACTGCAGAACCCCTAAGTCCCTTTTGCATCTTAAATAGGCTAATATCTCTGCTGATCTGGGATTTGGAAGTGTTCGAGTTTATTGAAGGAGCTGACACAGATCAAGACGTTTTTGGCGGTTCATGGATTAAGTCTTACCTCTGCTTGGATCAAGAAAAGAGCTTTCTATTTGTCAATCACTTGAGTCTTGAGCAGTCCCACCAGATATTCACATTCAGATATGCAAACCAATGTATGACAGAGCATTCTTTGGAGGTAAAAATAAGTACTTTTATGATTTCTGAGATTTTTTTCACAGCTGCTTTTATTAGTGTTATCTCCCTTTGCTTCAGAAATGTTAAGAGTGCAGACACACAGGGATAACACTGTATTGGAAGGGCCAAAAACCAAGAATCCTGAAGCTGGAGATTGAAGAGTGCTTTAGTAATCTCCTATAATCCTTTTTGTTCACCCAGGAGATTGTCCTCCTTTAGAAGTTTGCAGCCAGACAAAGAGGTGGATAGTGCGATGGTATCAACTTTAATAGACTGGGGAGGTTGAGGAAAAGGCTAACCACCTCACTGTGTCAAATGGGCCCAGGTTCAGGGAAGTCAGCGCTTTCTCAATTATTTTCTAAATTAACTCACGAGCTCTGTAGAGATTTAGCGGAGACTATCTAAGGTATAACAGATCAAAAATGGACAGGGAAAGGAGTTCAGGGGTGCGATCCTCATGTCAAAGTACTGACATACCTCTCAGGTTCTCGGGCGTTTCAAAGAATTCCTCTGCTGCCTTTCCTGTACTGTTAAAGAATTTCACTTAAGAAGGAGTGCAGTCCAGCAATTGTAGGTTTGTAATGTAGCTGTGATGCATTAGCTGAAAATGTGTTGCTACACTTTCCTAGCTGGACAAAAATCCCTGATTGTGTTTCGTATTTTCTCTCTGTAGGCTTCTCCTTTGTTTGTTTGAAGGCAAATAATGGACAGAAGATCATCCTCACTTTCTGAACTGTGGAATTACTAAAGCCTGAAAATAAAACCTCACAT